TTCCATCTCTATTATTCTAGGATTCCAGGATTTAAAAATCTACAGGACAATGTGGCTACAACCACAGGATAATGTGGACTTCTCCCACTGAGGCTCCAGACACAGTGACAATACTGAAAGAGGAAATCCAAATAGGGATTTTCCATCCTGCTCTTCCCACACTTCTTGGCTACATTTGGAAAGCACTGAAGAACTTCTTCACCTGAGTTTGCATCTCAGACCCGAGAGAGGATGCAGATGAGGAAGCAAGGCCAAGAACAGAAGGCATCAGGGAAATCAAACCTCCCAATTTCCCCTTATTTCAACTCAGTTTAATGTACCCCAACACACATCCAGTGAAATATCAGCAGAAAGGGGGATGAAGGGTTGAAGAGACCCCCCAGTCTCTCCTTCTCTGCTGGGTGTCGTAGTCTCTAATGCTAAAGTGCTCTGATGCTACCTATGGAATTGTTCTGCTGAATAGAAGAAAACCATAACAAACCAAGCATCTTGAAAAAGAACCATCCTCCTAGAGAACTAAGTCCTCAAAGAAAGTCCTGTTCTCTATCTCTACTAACCAAATCTCTTTTGGTGGTTAGTTCCCAATTTGAGAACACTCTTTTGCAGTGTTCTTTTCCTCAGCCTGAATTATCTGAGGACAGCAGAGAATGTGGGAAATATCTCAAGAAATATATGTGAGCAAAAAGGATAAGCAAAGCACTGCATGTGGAAAGTCTCTTGGGAGTCAGATCCTCAAGTATAGCTATATCTAAGATATAGCTGAAGTTATATTACTCTCTGCTATAAAGCTGCAATAGATCACACTCCAAATGTCCCTGCATCCCTTCTGGGGATGCAACTAAGAAAATAAGCTCTGTTCTTGGGAGGAACTCCTGAGAACTCTATGGGGCAATTTGGTGCAACTACTAGGTTGGCTCGCTGGTCTACCAATTAACTAAACTTTCCAATTGGATTCCTCTCTCCCTCTCGCTCTCGCTCTCTCTCACACATGCACACGCACATGCACACGCACCCATACACACTTATGTTCAGTTCCTCCTGAACTTTTAAAACTTTAAAAAGGGTGAAAAGTGTTCCTTGTCTTCACCTTCCTGTTATGCTTCTGCTCTGTATAGGATTCTGAAAGTTTGGAACCCATTTCCAAACCCATTTCTTATTGCTTTATGACAAATAAAACACTTGTAACTAGGAAGACATGCTAACACATTAGCAACCAATTACACCATTCAGAACAGAAACACTCTTTTGATTTTCTCCCTTTGTAATTATCCAAATTGGTATAATTTAATCACCTGGCCAAAGTCTGAGAGTGGCCATAAATTACAGCCCTGTATCATGCAGATCTGGGAATAGGGGCAAAATATAGGTAGGGTTCTGTCAGATACATTTCTGACAAGGTGATTGATTTTTCATTTTCTCAGACAGAGATGAAATCAGATCGTTGGCAATTCCAGTTTGAGTTCAACTAAGAACACTGATGAGGCCAATATCCACTTTAAGGGGGACTTAGGTAGATTCAGGCACCATCCAATGCACCCAAAATCAGGCTTCTCCTGTCTTGATCAACAACAGTTCACATAGAGACAACATAGGATGCAGTGGCAAATGCTGGTGGTGATTTTGCTGCCTCCTCTCCACAAATTCTATGCAGATAGTCTGATGTGCCCTGGAAATGCCCCCCTTCCTGTCCCACATGAGTGGTACCATCCAGGTGACCTCATCCTTGGTGGGATCGCGTCTCACATCATTTATACCTTTGATGATATTCCATTCAATCGACATCCTTTTCAGGGACTCTTTGAGATTCCACAGTAAGGGATTCTTCCATTCCTTTACAACATTTGCCATATAATGTAATTTGTCTATATGAACAATAGGATGTTAAAAGATTGATGTACTCTAATTATGATGAGGTGAGGTTACTACGTTCTTTGATTTAAAACAATCAAATCATTTGTCAATGCATGAAAATTTATTGGAAATTACAGAACAATGTAATTTTATTTGTCAAAAACTTTTCTTACAGTGGTATTTAAACTGCTTATGACATATTTTATCATGAGTTAATACATATTCTGTATTTCCATAATTCAAAGAGGCTTTCACAGTATTTTATGCCTTTTGTTGGAAAAAAATTGCTTATGTGCAGATCCCTCTTCCATTGTCTGTTTTCTGTAGGGTTTCTCCAGCAGGTTATGCTTTCTTATCTTGTACACCTTTGTGTTCGCGTCTTCTAAACACTTTTTCTTCATGGCTCTCTCTGTTTCATCTGGCCTTTTATAGTATTGGCATTGGTGTTGGTGGTGCTTTTTTGTTTTTTACTTCATTCAAACATTCTTCAAAACTTTTGATGCTCAAAAAGTTCACTAGTTTGACAAATGAGAATTCTTACAATGCAAACCTACATATTTCCATGTAGGAATTAGGTCCAATGAATTAATTAATTTCCAGATAAGTGTGTGTAGAATCACAGTTTCTTTGGGCAGATGTATGGATGGGTGGATGGACGGATGGACGGATGGGTGGAGGAAAGGGTCTCTGTCTCTGAACTATGGGAAATTGTGAGATTTTCATATTTCAGGATGACTTACTTTAGTGTTCTGTTCTGTGTTTGATTAGTTGAGGTGGTCAATGAAGAGTGTTCATTCATCAACTTGACTTAAAAACAAAGCAAACCTGCAATGCAGTTACTGTGACACCTCCAGTTTATGAATTCTGCAGGGTCTAAGATGGAATTGAAGTTTTAGTGAGGTTTCACTCTTTCAAGTTATTTAAATATTCACAGTATTGTTTTGGCTCTCTGAACTCCTACAAAACTCCCTGCTTCCTCTGACTCTACACATCTAACCTGAATCCTGCATTGTGCATCTGATTTACAGTGTGTCTGAGCAGCCTCTGCAAACCTTCTTATGGCAATGTCAAAAGTTATGAAAAAGAAACATGCATGCTTCATTGCTTCCCTGAATTACAACAGAACAAAAAAGCAGACCAAAAAACAAAAAACCCAAAACACCAAAAAAACCGCAAACAAAAATAAAAAATAGAGTGAAAGGATGCACTGCAGTACAAATATGCTTTTAATGAGATCTTGGAGTAATTCTGGAGATCTTGGAGTAATTCTGGACAATAGGCTAAACATGAACCAACAATGTGATGCAGACACCAAAAGGGCAAATGCTATTTTGGGATGCATTAACAGAAGTATTACTTCCAAATCATGAGAAGTAGTAGTTTCTCTATACTCCTCACTAGTCAGACCTCACCTGGAATACTGTGTCTAGTTCTGGGCACCAAGATTTAGAAAAGATGCAGGTAAATTGGAAAGGGTCCAGAAAGGGGCAACGAAAATGATCCAGGGTTTGGAAACACTGCCCTGTGAGGAGAGACTGAGAGAACTGGGCATGTTCACCCTTGAAAAGAGAAGGCTGAGGGGGGACTTGATATCCCTCTATAAGTACCTCAAAGGCTGTCACAAAGAGGACAAGATCTCTTCTTGCTAATGCCAGAGTGTAGAACATAGAATAATCAGTTCAAGTTGTGATAACCCAGATTCAGGCTAGACATCAGGAAAAGCTTCCTCACTGTCAGAGCAATAGGACAGTGGAACCAGCTGGCTAGAGAGGTTGTGGGCTCTCTCACACTAGTGACATTCAAAAAGAAACTGGACAGTCATCTGAGTGGGAGGGTGTAACATGGTGTCCTGCAACACCAGGGAGTTAGACTCAATGGCCTTCATGGTCCCTTCCAACTCTACTATTCTATGATTTGTGAAAGGAATGTGGAACTATTATTACTGATGAAAGAAATAACAGAAAATGTTGTACCAGCCACTGCATAACTTTCCTTAGCCCAAGGCTTGCTGCATTTTGGTTTCCACCACAATTATTAGACTCCAAATCCCAGTCTTATTGACACTTGCCTGCTCTATCTGGGGCTTAAGTTATTTAAATTCCAACATATATGCAGGGCAACAAGTTCTGGAAGGGTGATTAGCTCTTCCCATTCCTGGTCTCCCTGAAGCTATATGAGGTGTGGTTACAGAATTGACCTGTGACATGGAGACATCTGTTCTGATCCTCAGCCATAAAGCTCAAAGGGAGAGTGGGGCAATCACTGACTCTCCCCTAACAGACATCACAGGGTTCTTGTGAAGATAAGAGGGAAAGAACCCCTGTAGGTAAGCCAGATATACTACAGGTAGGACAAATGCCAGTATTCTGATGCATCATAAGCTACATCAGGGCTGAAAGTGTTGATTAGTTCAGATAAATCATCATGTGAATATATTTATTGCTACAATCCTATACTTATTTACATGCTTCACCATGAGGCACTGAAATAGAAAAATGACTAGGATTCTGGAATAATATGATCTTGTTACATTCACTATATTGACAGTGTGGTCACAAAGTTCTACCAACACATCCTTGCCTTGACATTTGCAGTAATAGAAATCAACAAGGACCCCAAGATATTGCCCAACCTTACACTCGGCTTCCATATCTATGACAGCTATTTCCACACAAGGATGATCTATCGGACCACTCTGGACCTGCTTTTCAAACTGCAGAGATTTGTTCCCAACTACAGATGTGGCATTCAGAAAAACCTGGCAGCCATCATTGGAGGACTTGGCTATGATACCTCCCTCCGTATGGCAGAAATCTTAGAACTCTACAAAATTCCACAGGTGGGTCCTATCAGTGGGGCTTGAGGAAACTGCACCCCTCTCAGCATTCTCAAGTAATATTGTGGTTTAGAGCCAAAAAAGTTGTATGGGGAGAAATGTGGAAATCACATTACAGTTCAATAATGTCAATAAGAAATGCTCTTGACTTGAGTCTCTCAGAATCTTCATAGTCCATCAACAAATCTATCTTGTGTAAAAGGTTCATGCACAGAGAAAGTGTTCCTACCATATGTGCATTTTCTTTCAGCTGACATATGGTTCATTTGCTCTTGGAGAGAGTCAAACCACACAGATTTCTTCCTTATACCACATGGTCCCAGATGAATCCATGCAGTATTCAGGAATAGTACAGTTACTTCAACATTTTGGATGGACATGGGTTGGACTCTTTATCGTGGATGACAACAGTGGAGAACAGTTCGTGCATGCCCTGGAGTCTCTCTTTTCTCAGGCTGGAATTTGTTCGGCCTTCACAGAAAGAATCCCACAACAAGGCCATGCAGATGACCTTATAGAAATGAATGATATAATCAGAAGTATTTATGTATGTTTCACAAATTATTCAACCAACGTATTTATCTTTTATGGAGAATCTTTGAGTTTTACATTGTTGAGGACAATGATGTTTTTGAAAGATCCTGTAGATAGGAAAACATCATTTGGAAAGGTGTGGATTACAACAGCCCAGATTGATTTCATTTCATCGGGTCTCCAGAGGAACTGGGATTTTTGGATGTTTGAAGGTGCCATTTCCTTCACAGTGCACTCAAAAGAACTTCCAGGGTTCAAGGATTATCTTCAGAGCATAAAACCCAACTGGAACCAAGGGGATCATTTTCTGAAAGATACCTGGGAACAAGTTTTCGACTGCTTCCTTCCAGATCCTAGAGTGCCCATTAAAGACCATGAAATATGTACTGGACAGGAGAGACTAGAGAACCTTCCTGCAGGTCTCTTTACAATGCACATGACTGGACACAGCTACAGTATTTATAATGCAGTCTATGCCCTGACACATGCTTTGCACGCCATGCATTCATTGTATCCCAAGCACAGAACAATCAGAAAAGGTAACACTGTTCAGCTCCAGTATCTTCAGCCATGGCAGGTAACATTTCCATTTGTGTATTTCAAAGCAAATTTGTTCCAAGTGAATGTATCTCCTGGTTTGTCCTTCACTAATGATCAGTCAAAAGGTATCACACACATTTTGTGTATAAGCAATGTTTTTTATGATAGGTGCCTGGAAAGAAGGGCAGATGACGGTATTAATCATGAACCATATTTTTCCATGTCTTATTCTCTCCCAAGCAGCTCCATCACTTTCTTGATGGCATTTTGTTTAACAACTCAGCTAAAGAAACACTGTCCTTTGGTGGCAAAAGACAAATAGTGGGTGGATTCGACATTGTGAATATGGTCATTTCTCCAAACAACTCTTTTCAGTTAGTGAAGATTGGAAGGGTGGATCCGAATGCTCCAAAAAGGAAAGCATTAGTAATGAATGAGAGCATGATTGTATGGCACAGTCACTTTACACAGGTAAGAAATCTGAGGAAGGGACGTCCTTGAGGAATCCATGCGTCAACTTCTCAGACATCCAAGCTCAGTTGAACCTGGCATTGGTTGTACCAGAATTTTTGAGTCAAGCAGCTTTGGTGAATTTGTGGAACAGTTCCCTGGCTCATGCAAATTTACAGCCTCTCAGTTTCTTTCTATCTGCTCTTATTCGTACTAATTCCCCTTTTTATTAGTGCAAATGGAGTGAAATTAACTGTATTCCAAGCATAGATTCCTAAAGGAAGCCACAGCATTGCATTTACAAGAGCTGAGTGGGTCTGTCCTGGATAAGACATTTTGGAGGGCACTCATTCACAGGGCCCCCATAGGACAGAGATGACTTGATGGCACATAACAACAGCGGCAGAATAAAGTGTGGCAAAGAAATATTTAATCCTATCAAGAAGACAAAAGAATCAAAAGTAATGGACATTCTACAAAATGTAGATGGGAGAAATTGAACAATTCCATGCATCCATACTCTGGGATACATTCGGTGCATGGTTTATTCTACAATTCTCCTTGTTTGGTTTCTTTGTCCTACTGCATCCTCACTAAGTGTTCACACAGGCCCTGAACAGGAAGTGATCCCACTACTGAGTATAAAAGGTGCACAAATATTGCTTGTAGAAGTTTGCATGGATGTTGTATTGGTCACAGCTGAGTAAGGGTGGGGGTTGCCCCTTGATTTCATTTTGTCTGTGTGATTTGCACAAATGATGTACCACTGGACATGGAAGCTAAGCTATGCACAGATCATTTCACTGCACAAGATTTGTTTCTTGGATTCATGTCATGTTTGCATTCTGTTTGTGAGATCCTACTGAAGAAAAAAAATGAAAATGTGTGTGCAAAGTGTGACCCATGAGACACACATGTCTAAGAATGGGAATTGAGGTAGAAGGACATGAAGAAAAGGAGCAGTGTACTAACTGCAGGGGGATGGTTTGTTCAAACTGCTGTAGGTGCCACAGAGGATGAGACTGTGGACATTGCATTTGGGGCAGTGCAGATTGTGCTCTTGGTGGTACAATGGAGGGAACCAGAATTTAGCATGCATGTGGGGCCTGCTAGAATTCCTAAGTGTTCATGTACTTTCCTAGATGAGGGTCAAGGGCAGGAATGAGTGAAGAAGACAGCTCAGATACTGGGATCTTGATAAAATTCTAACTTTTAAACTCTAACATATAACAACTACATGGAAAAGGCAAAGAGATAAATAAATAACTCCCATTCTAAACTCTTCCATCCAGGTGCCCCCAGCTTCTCTATGCAATGAATGCTGCCATCCTGGGAATCAGAAGAAAAAGAAGGAAGGGGAGAAGTTTTGTTGCTACACTTGTGTCCTGTGCCCAGAAGGGAAGATTGCAAACCAGACAGGTGGGTGACACAGGGCATAAGTTTTGCCACCAAGGTGTTTGTCATTCCAGATTAATGTGACGTGTTTCCATTTTTCAGATATGGCCAACTGTTTCCAATGTCCAGAAGATCGGTATCCAAACAGGAATAGAAATCACTGTATACCAAAAGCAATAAATTTTCTATCATATGAGGAACCCTTAGGAATCACATTAGCCTCACTTGCTGTCTCATACTCCCTCATCATTGTCCTGGTGCTTGGCATTTTTCTTATGCACAACAATACTCCAATAGTCAGAGCCAACAACCAGGAACTCACCTACATGCTCCTCTTCTTGCTCCTGCTCTGCTTCCTCTCTTCTTTGCTCTTCCTCAGACAGCCTGGGAAAGTAAACTGCCTCCTCCGACAACCCACCTTCGCCATTGTTTTCTCTATGGCCATTTCTTGTGTGTTGGCAAAGACGACCCTAGTTTCTCTTGCCTTCAGAGCCACAAAACCAGGATCAAGGCTGAAAAATTGGGTGGGGAAAGGACTATCTCATTCCATAGCCTTTTCCTGCTCCCTTATCCAACTCTTCATTTGCACCATGTGGCTCACATCAACTCCCCCTTTCCCGGATTTAGATATGCACTCGGTCACTGAAGAAATAAATTTTCAATGTAACGAGGGGTCAGTCACCATGTTTTACTGTGTCCTGGGCTACATGGGCCTGCTGGCTCTTTCCAGCTTCGTTGTGGCTTTCTTAGCTCGCAAGTTACCTGATAGCTTTAATGAATCCAAGTTTGTAACATTTAGCATGCTGGTCTTTTGCAGTGTGTGGCTTTCCTTTGTTCCAACTTATCTGAGTACAAGAGGCAAAGCCATGGTGGCTGTGGAGATCTTTGCCATCTTATTCTCAGGTGCAGGGTTGCTATTTTGCATCTTTTGCCCTAAATGCTACATCATTGTGTGGAGACCAGATCTGAACTGCAGAGAACAGCTCATCAAGAGGAAGCATTAAAGAATATTTCTTTTTTCTCCCTATGTGTACTATATAAAGGTGTTTCAGTATCTGATGGTTCTAGCATTAATTCCTTATGCTGACTTCACATTAGCATCCAAACTCCTTAGAAAGCTTCACTCAATGCAACCTTTAGCTAGCTCAGTTCAGGGTGGAAGCATGTTATGAAATGAGCCAGTGCAGCTGGACTCATTGCTAGGACTGAGAGGAATGTGTCCCTTAGGATGTAGTCATACCGCAGTGCACATCAGCCTTAGCTTGCATGGCCAGTGATCCATGGGGGTTGTTCTCCAACCACATCTTGAGGACCATATGATCTCCACCCATCTTCTTTGCCTTATGGACCTGGTTCTACACAATACAATATACTATTCAATTGAATGGGAAGAGAAAACATTTAAAGAAAACAATAACAAAAGGTACAAAATGGTTAAGGCCAGAGACAGCAGATGGGTCTGTAGTTGCTTAAAAGACCCCCCCAACACACACACACACAAAGATCCAAACACAAATAGGCACTCGCAAACACTCCAAAACCAAAAAATCCATAATGCACCAAAATTACTCTTCACCAGGTCATACAAAAGGATCCACAAACAGTAACAGAAGCAGATACAACAGTTATACTGATGGGTATAACTGTGACTGACATGTATATCTACTCTAATGATTTTCAGTACAGTACCACATACAACATCAAATTTCATCCCTCATCTTGTAATAGGGAAAAACTGTTTGAGAACTTTCCAACCTATCAGGGAACATTCTCTTTAACCTCAAAGTATTCTAATTGGAACAATGAAGCATCAAAGGCAGGGTAGATTTTTAAACGTTTCCTTTGCAAATCTTTAAACAATTCAATTCAGTTATTTTGACAGTGTCTTGCTTGGGATACATATATTTTTAAACTTTCTTCATGTGCCAAGTAGTTTTCGGACAAACTTCCACAGAATCCAACCCTCTTTTCTCTGTTGGATGCTTTCTTGGACTTGATTCTTGCTCAGGAATTGCGCTGAACCCAGAGGAAGTTGGTGAATGCTTGCAGACTTCTAGATGTGCCACTGGTAACCTCCTTCCACAGCTTGCAAACCACAATTGGTGCAAGTCAAAAGTGTGGCAGAGGGATGCTGCTTGCACAGGGTTGATGCCAGTTTGCACCCCAGAACATCAGATTCACAGCTACAAGAAGTGGATTGGAGTCTGAGAACTGGGACTCCACAGTATCCAATGGATTCCCACATCCTGTCATGAGCTAGGGTTCCTCCCTTCACACACTCAGAGCCACAGACCTTTCTTTCAAGACATTGTTTATTGACCAATGCATTTTCTGGAAGCTCAGAAACCAAGAATGAATCTCGGAGCATGCACAGAGCAGTTCATTGAACCCAATCTAGGATTCACTTTCAAGAACTTTCCTTATGAGCATGTCTGGGGCCCATCCCTTCAGAAGGGACCTTCTGAAAAAGAACACACCTCGTCTCTGCACATTATGTCTAATTGGGCCACCCTCTTCTGCTGATTTCATTTCATGGGGTTGAGAGTCATGCCTGCCTCATGTGTTTCTGAGAAACTTCTGTTTTCCAAGTCCTCTCCCTATAGCTGTACATCTTAGTTAGTCACAGGGGCTACTTGACCACCTGGGGAGTCTGGCATTGGGTGCATGCTTCCACAATACATTTCACACCAGATTTTAGAGCACCACTGAAACTAAATGCAATATTTACTCCTCATAGCATTGTCTCTATGTTGAAGTCTTCAAAACTATTCAAAATGCATCAGAAGCAAGCCCCATGGAACTCAAGAGGAAGCCCCACAGTAACAGAGCAAGTCAGGAAGTGTCTCCCGGACCATATAGTCTGACCCTGGGAACAAGCCAGCTCCGCTCATATAATGTCCATCATATGGCTGAAGAAGGGATGCATTGCATAGCACTAAAAGGTTTGTGGTACCTCAACAAATGCATATCCCAAATTCATGACGTGACAACATTTGATAATTTTGATGCTAGGGACATCTCCGTGTAAGGCTTTCCAGGGCACACTGATAGTGGTGGCATGTTTTACTTGATTTCCCTTATTTTTAATGAGGTCTTGTCATGTAGTCCCCTATCAAGCTTGTGTCCCCTGTCGAGACAATGAATTCCTCTTTGGCTCTTACTTTCCCATTTTCCTGTTTTGGTCAGTGCTGATTTCTGGTAATTTGGAATCAGACTCCCATTTCTTATTTCTTCTGGGAACAGAAACAACTTCTGGTCATATACAAGGACAAAAAAAAAAAAAAAAAAAAA